TGTATTTGATTAATAAATCAGCTAATTGTTGTTTCTCTTCATTGTTGATTAAGTTGTTGTCACATATAGCTTTGCTAATCATTTGCGGTGTAAGATCACTGTTTATGTTGCTTCTATTTATATTTTCGTATTCAAATGTATTATCACTCATTTTCTGGTTATTAATTTTATTGATGTTTTCATTGATTATATGACATAATACTCCTTGGGTACTAACTTTGTCAAACTTTAATATTTTCTTTGAATCATTTATATTTATTATTATTTGTTCTTGATTGAAATCCATAACAGTTTTCCATGAGCTTAACACGTCCATTCCGAATATAATAGGTCTTACTAAATTGGGTACAATCAACATTTGAATGTTCGTGATTTGATCATCTATGGTGATTGGCAACATTATTATTTTTGATATTTTCTTTGATTTATCATTTACAGCGGTTTTAATACTTGTACCGACAACTGGTAATTGTTCATGACGGCCAATGTTTATTTGGTTCTCAGAGTACCAATTTTCAGACATACACGTTACGTTTGAACCTGTATCAATAAGAGCATTTACAGAAATATTATTAATTTTAATTTTGATTTCTGGATAATGAATTGGAATTTGTTTTAATGAGCATTGTTCATTAAGACTTGGTTCTTCTGTAAGTAGGAATTCTCGGTCACAATAGATATTACATATAGTTTGAGCGTCTTGGTCATTTGGTTTATAATTATTAATTTGCCTACTTAATCCGATTTTGTTAATATTTGGCACTGAAGATCTTTGTTCATTTAATTTAGATTCTGATGTTGATTGTAGGCAACTATTATCGACAGTGCCTAACAGTTTAAAGGCTCCTTATATTCGTTAGGAGTTGTTGGGGAAATATTTGGTTGATTTGGACTTCGTTCGATAGTCATGTGGCATATTTGTTTTTGTTCATGGGTAGGATATCGCCTTCCGTCATTTTGATTAACGTGGTAATTGGGTTTGGAACTTGTCTGGTTATTCGCTGGTGGTTGATAATTATTTGTCCTACGGTCGTTATATCTATTATAAGGGTGATCATTTGGTTGAGGTGCTGTCCGGTAGTATTGGTTCTTTGGAACATAGGCTCTATTATCGTAACGGTTTCGATTTGAATCTGATCCCCTCCATTCTTTCTTATGTGGATCATTATAATCTTCATTTCTTCGTGATTGCTCGTTGAATTTGTTTTGCGGATTTTGATGTAAGTTTGAGATGTATGGTTTATGTTGATTTTTCTTCTGTTGATCTTTGATGTCTTCCCGTAAAAGTAAGGCTTCAAACCCTTGGATAGTAGTTATATTTTGTACTCGTCGTGCATTCTGGATTAGTTCTTCGAAATGTTCGCACAGGCAATCCACTATTTCTTCTTCATCAAGGGGTGGTGTCAATGATTGTAGTGTGAGGACACGTTCGACAAAATATTCAGATCGTGAAAGATTACCATTGTTACGATATTTTTCAGATTCCAGTCTTTGTCTGATTCCTCGTTGTGTGTCTTTATTCCAGTATTTGCTTTCGAACATGTTTTGGAAACATTCCCAATTACTTACGTCACGTTTCACTAGGTTAAACCAACGTGCAGCGTGATTTTCTAGGCTATTTTCAATAAGGTCAGTTAAAAATTCAACATCGTCATCGTTTGGATTCTTTTTAAGGAGACTTTTCTTGTAATATTTATATAATTTGGCAATGAACTCTTTAGGGTTATGTCCTCTACCATTGAATTTTGGTAATGTCATATCTGACACGATTCCGGAGTTTCGGTTACATGTAACATAGATATGTTGAGGGGACGATGTTACTTGTCCATGTTTAGTGATATTTTGTTTTATTTTAATAATCTCCTCACTTTGTTTTTGTAGATTCTGTTGGATAGCTGAAATTTCTTGACCTTGATTTTTAATAACGATCAGTGAATTTTGTATTTCATGGGCATTTTGTTTTGATTTTGCTGTTATAAGTTGTTCATGTTCCAATCTGAATTGGTTTATCTGTGAATGAATATCATATTTTTGTTTTTGTATTTCCAAATTCACTTTTTCAAGAGTTTGAGAATTATTTTGGATTATCATGGACTTCATTTCGGATTTTTGTTCTTCTAAGTCTTGGATTAAATTTTCACGTATTTTGGTATCACATTCATATATTTCTGCTTTAAACGTTTCTTTCATTGTAAGGATCTCTTTGGAATGTTGAATCTGAGTTATTTGTATCTGATCCATTTCCTTACGCATGTTTTCTTGGTTAGTTTTAACAGAGGTGATTTTTTCTTCAAGGGAAATCTGGCACTGCTTAATTTCACGCTGAATTTCTGATTTTAAATTATCATTTTGTAATTTTATTTCTGACATTTCAGATTGTATTTCTAATTTTAATGTGTCGTGTTGTGAAACTATTAATGCATTATTCTGTTGAACCATTCGCATTAATTGAAGAATAGAATCATTCATATTTATTTCACTCGCAGCTGTTAGAGGCAGTGAATGCGATGTCTGTGACTCCAGTCGTATGTTCATTCGATGTCAGTGTGGTGGCTTTCATAGTGACGTCACTCACATCAGCTGATTTGTCTGTCTGTTGTTGTGACGATTCATCTCCGCCGTTCTTCTTCTCCTCTATGTCAAGTCCTTCTGCTGTGTCCAGTTCTCGTTCCACCATTCCCTGTGTTCCCATTGGCTGGTGTGAATTCGATGCGGATGTCATGGCGGCGTTGTCTTGTGCGTCTGCTGTGTTGTCTGTTCTAGTTCTAGTAGTGACGCTTTGTGTATGAATGTGTTCTTGTAGATCGTGTCCTTCGTTGTGCTGTGTGTTCATGTCGTTTGATTGTATGTTGTTTACGGTGTTCACAAAATTATCTTGCTTATTAGCATTTGCTAATTCGCCACAATTATCGTCTGGGTCTGATTCACTGTCGGTATTGTAACGCAAATTATTTTCGGCTGCCTTCCACGATAACTTCGGCTTTGGTCGTAAATTGTACCTTTTGTCATCGTCACTCATATTGATTAAATAAATGATTATTCCCTGTGTTGTTGCATATACTTTTTATTTGTGTATTTGAAGGTTTGTTAGTTGTGTGTTAATTTGGTTACTAGGGCCTATCTTAAATTGTGTAGGTTAATCGTAGGTTAGGCCTAGATCAGAATTTTCAATAGCCCACTCGTTGGGACGCCATTTTGCAACCTACTCCTCTTTATTAATGAATTTCAAAATATGAATTTACTTAAATTAGATAATAAAATTACAATAAAGTTACAATAAAATATATTTAGGTTCTATAGCTATTACAATAATCTCATTGGGCTAAGATAGTGAAATTATATTTTGGTTTAGGTTTTTTTTTTGATGGGCTAGGCTAGTTAACAATTTGGAGAGAAAATTATCTTAATCTAGGGGTTGGTTCGTGCCGGGTATGGAATTCTGATAGGCTGATTAACTTAATTTATACAGTACTAATATAGGCTAAATAATATGAGATAGGCTAATAATGAGAATAAAAAAAATTAGGCTATAAGTTCTTAATTTGAAAGTCACTTGAATTTAGTCAATTCACAATGTGGTGGTTGGAAATTGATGATGAGTTTTTTTTAAGTGTTAATTGAGGTTGATATTACCAATTTTGTTGAATAGTGATTTTCTTCTTTCTTTATGTCTCTTTATATTCAATATTTATATGTATTCTGAATGTTAATTTTCAATTTTGGATATTTAAATCACTGGAGACTTGGCTCCCACATCCATCTCTCTCTATATCTTCCACCACAAGCACATTTTCTTCCTTTTCTTTAGCTTTCCTTCCAACAATTACTTCACACCTGGACACCGGACAGTACAAAAGAAATATTTCCTACCTAGACACTATTTAATTTTAGAATGGTATTTTTGAATATAGTTTTTCTTCTTCACTAATTTATATTTCATTAAATTTAAATATTCTTTTTGAAAATACAGTAATTATTAAATATTAAAAGTAATTTAGCTACAATTCACATATGAGTACATTCATGTTTTATCTCAGACTTCCGGACAATTTAAATATGATATTTAGGTATGTTAACTACCCAGGAACAATGCCCTAAAATATTGGTAGAGAGTTCCGGGACACCCTGTATAGTGATATATGACTTTGAACGGATGGTGTTTTTGGCCTCTGGGGACCTCAAAACGAAAAAGTAAATCGGTCCCGGGTCTAGGTCTTACCATGAGACCTACGGTAATAGCTTATTCCCTATATGGGAAATTCGCTAAAAACAAAGTCAACTCTAAAAAGCAAACATAATACAAACATCCTCCAATTGAAAAACAATTTTAAACGGCTTATTTAAATAGAACAACATATTCATTGAATTTGTATTGGAATCGTCAAATATGTTGAATTGAAAAAAATTTAGGTGGTTTGAGGGGAAGTTCCCCCACTACTTTTTTTTCTTAAGAGTCCTTGGAGCCTAGACGTTCTAACTTGCAAAACAATTAAAAAACTACACAGACAATTTCTAATCCCACAGCTTACTAGATATTTAATTTACAATGACTCTGGTGTTTGAAAAAAATATTTTGAGATAAAAAACTCTTCAGCGGCTGTTTGAAATTAGCGAAATTAACATTTCTCTAATAGTGGGCAAATCCAAGATGGTCGTTAGCATTCAAAACTAAAAAGAAAATTTCTTATCTCACAGTATACTAGATATTTAAATTATAATCACTCTGGTGTTTGAAAAATATTTTTGGCCGACAAAAAACTCTTCAGCAGCTGTTTGGAAGTATCCAAGATGGCCGCTAGCCTACAAGGACTCTTAATATATATGTTGCAGTTGATGACGTTTTGGGAAACCTCAGCTGTTAGGCTATGGTTTTAAAGGAAGGCTCAAGTGGAGAGGATAGATTTCTTCTCCTAAAACCACATACATTTTGTGAACGGAGTATAATTGCAAAGAGGGAGAGACAAAATTCTTCAAATAACGTTTGCTGTTGTGAAGCTCACCGGAACACTTTCTGGTGCAGTACGAACGCAGTGATGTGTCCTGCGTTTATGTAGCGTACCTCCGCCCCCGGCCAGATATCTGTCAGGTCAGTGACCCCCTCGCGAGGCACGTAGCCGTCGTCTCGCGCACACACAGACACTATCAGACTCGTGTCCACTGGTATGCTGAAGTTGCGGAGATGTGTACACTCGTCCATGATGCCTCTCATGAAGTGAAGTGCCTCGTGCTCTTTCCAGTTGATCTTCTCATCTGATCAAACACAAATGATTAATTTCTGAGTAAAATTAGTTTTATATGTTTACAAAAAAATTTAAAGATTATTTTATTTTTTGAAATTAAAAAAAAAAATTAGTTTTTTTTTAATTTTGTTTTAAATTTTTTGTCTTAGGACGCTAGGCACGAGCCCGGGATTGTTTTTCACATTACTTAAGGCTAGACCTAGTGGCTGCAGCATTATCACTTAATAAAATCCATTTGTGATTTGGCGGGATTGGAACCCGGGACGAAAATTAAAAATTGTAATAACAAAAATGGTGAAATATTTACTAAAACACTCTACAAAAAAGTCTATCTCGCCCGGCCGCTACAGAATACTTTGGCGAGGTACAGCTAACTGTGTTAAAAGTTAAATAAAAAAAATAATTTTTATTTGGGACTCCACTGTATATAGATAATTACGCAAACACCATAGTGATTTTTTCATTTTCTCTTAAAGTTACCGATGGTAGATTCTACTTGAAATGATAAATGTAAGATGCGTGCTGAAAAGATTAGATGAATTGAACCCGAAAAAACAAAACCATTGGTGATTGGTGGGATTTGAACGCTTTAACTACAAAGATGACTGAGGTACCTGAAGTTCGTGCCGAGGTGTTACTTTCCTTGAGACTCAACATCATGGCTGTCCGATCGTCAGAGTTTGTGAGTCGAAGGCGACTCAGGTTCGGCATGCTCAACTTGAACAAACCTCCAATATTCACCTAGCGCAACCAATCTACTGAAAAACATTATTTATTCCCCCCAAAATTTTACATTATCCCCCCCAAAAAAAAACTACATTATTTTTGTGTCTCAAATTTTTGATTTTATTTAAGGAAAAAACAATTTATTTTTTACTCACTTGGTTTTTAAAAGCCAAGACAATTAAATACTTCTTATGTAAAAGTACTAACAATTATGTTATATTCCAGTAAAAGTAACTAAAAGAAAACATTTATTTTAGAATGATAAAGTACCTAACCAAGAGATGTCATTCATTATCTTTGAGTATACTAAACGGTAAAAATCTTGAGCTCCAGTTAGCTTATGGTAGAATATGAAATAGTGATTTTACAAAGTATTACCTTCTGTATCCAATAGTCAATGGTATTACTATGAAATGATGCTCATGGATTTGACTAAGCTTATTTTTTTAGTTTTTTTTTTCACAAAGTTTGCTATCTTGACTATCCCTTTACAACATATTTTTTGAAATGTAAAATGAGCCTCCTGCACAGTTACTCCTATAGGTACAACTTAATAAATAGGAACAATGAGGATATACCATCAAGTGGGGACAAGCAAGGATTTCCTCCAAGGTTTAATCTGTTTTGGAAAAGTGCCATAAAATAATACTATTTTAAATTATTGAAAATATCAATCCTAGCTAATATTTATTAAACACAGTAAATACATTTTTGACACTCATTAACAAAACCACATCTGATCTTTTCATAACAGACATATAGATTACACAGTTGTTTGTGTCTAATGCTAGGTAGAATTAGTAGTTATTCCCACTTTTTCCCAATCAGTGTCCCCTCTAGCCGACAATCTTCAATGTTTTAGATAGCATCAACTTTACCCTAAGACACTTACAACATTTACTTTCTAAACACTGAGAATATATATTTTGAAAGTACGAGGGTGGTTCAATATGTCCTTAGAAAAAGATAGAATAACACAACTTTCTGGGATGAATTTGATTTATTTTTCAACATAATCTCCTTTTAGCTCTACAAATTTATCTAACGTTTCTCCAACCTCCTCATGCCATCCGAATAGTACGAACTTGAAAAGTCTTTGAAATCCTCTTCTGTTTCAGTAATGACCTTATCATCTGACATGAAACGTTGCCCACCAAGCCAATATTTTAGATTGGACAGTTAGTCACTCAAGGTCGAGGCTAAATCTGGTGAACATGGTGGATGAGGCAATAATTCAAACTTCAACTCCATGATTTGCCATCGAAACCGCAAAGGTTTGCTCTTGCTTTGTCTTGATGGAGGAGTAATTTTTCTTTTCCAGACGTTTTGCCTTAATTTCATCGCTCAACAGGCTTAATAATGAGAAATCCTACTCTCCAGTTATTATTTTTCCCTTTGCCACGTAGCCAATATAAATTATTCCACAAACATCCCAAAAACAGTTGCCATCACCTTGCCAGCAGATCTCACTGTATTCGTCTTCTTCAGTGCTCATACGCTTGAGAAAAAAAAACCCACTGCTTGGACAATTCCTTTGTCTCCGGAGTGTAGTAGTGAATCCATGATTCATCTACAGTTATGTAGCGGCGAAGAAACTCATCAGGATTACAACGGTTAAACACCAGAACAGCTTTAGAATCGACCACACAGTTACACTTATTCTCCTTGCAAGCGCGGTAACCATCTTGCTGAGACTTTTTTCACACCCAGCTTTTCATGTAAATTGGAGAACACTGTACTTTGCAATACACTTGTGGCCTCAACTATTTCACAGTCTTTAATTCACCTGTCATTCAAAATCATATCGTGAATTTACTTTAATTCGTCTGTTATTCAAAACGATATTGTGGATTTTGTTTATCATTTCAGGGGTAGTCACTTCCACTGGTTGTCCTGAACGGGGTTCATCTTGCGCCGATGTATGGCCATATTTTAACCCATTTACCCAGTTGCAATATTTTTATAGCTGCTCAGAACTAACTTTTCTCATTTGTCAAAATGCACAGAGGTTTGTTTACAAAATCAACCAGAACCAGCTGATGAATTTGACAGAAACATTGTCAGCTGTTTATTAAATAGTGAAGTTGGCTATAAACAAACCATTTGCAATACTATGAGCGGTGTTTATGTCTTTTTCTAAGGACTTATTGAATCACCCTCGTGATATGTGGATTTTATTTGGCTTTCTGTATTTGGTAGTTTGTATTAATGACAACACTCCTTCCATGGTATCTGTAAGCACCACTTCAACTAAAAGTGAATTTACTGAGTAAAAAAATATTTACCAATTGAGCAAAAAAATCTCATCTTTTTGAACTGTTAAACAATTACCAAATAAAAAATAAAAAGATTAAAATTAGTTTTTACTATTTTCTCTAAACTAATTTACACTGACTTCTGTGACAGAACTAGGCCTCTTTTCGCTGTGCAGTTTGTCCATGAAGATTTCTCTGGTTTCTTTACTCAAGTTAGCGCCGTTGATTTGTTTGTTTTCTTCATTTTTGTCTTCAACTTTGGCGATGCTTCGTTCAAACGTCTTAGCAAACTGTTGACCTGCTCGAAATGCATCCTACGAAAAATAAACAATGGTATATATCCTCAAAAAGAGTACACATAAGAGTTAAAAAAAACCCAGTTAATTAGTGTTTGTTCAAACTCAACCTTCCCACTTTTGGCGATTGGAATCTAGATGGCTAAATAACAGGCTTTAGGTACCTAGTACAGAAATGAGCAAAACTACAAATGAAATAAATGTTTAGCTAAAGAATTTGATATTTGAATGTGATTTTTTAGTTTTACTACCAGTGGTATTTTGAAGTGAGAACACTAAAAATTATTAATTAAAAGTGGTGCACACCTTTTATATTATTGTGGATATGTTGGAAAGAGGCCTATCCCCGCAGGTGATGTAGAATGCTACACTGATTGTTCTAAGGCCATACAAGAGGACACTGGTGCAGGTGTGCTTAGGGAACAAGAAGGTAATGGCATCAGCCAACCCATGGGAGTGAACCCGACCGTTTTTCAAGCAGAGGTAACCCCTGTTCTGGTTTGTGCTCGAGAAAATCTTAGCAAAGAGACAAAACAATTTGTATCTATCTACACTGATACTGGTAGCTACTTTAAAAGCACTTAACTCATATGAATTTAAATCAAAGCTCTTGTGAGACTGTCTTGCCTCTGTGTCTGAGTTGGTAGGAGGAATGACCTTACACTTTGCTGGGGACACTCAGGCATTGAAGGGAATGATGCTGCGGATAGACTGGTGAATGTTGCCTCAAATATAATTGGCCCACAACCTTTCTGTGGTGTATCTTGTAAGTGTGTGTGAACTTCTATTGCATCATGAGCCACTGACCTTGGAAACATTGGGTTGAGACGCCCCTCCTATTAGTTAGTAAGCTCACTTTTCATACACCTTTAAAACGGGTTGCCTCAAACTTTTTGAGGCTAGATAGGCGAAGGCTAGAGGCTAGTGACTGTTAGGTGAAGAATCAAACTAACAGTAAAACTGATAACATTCATGGCTTGAGCGGTTCAGGAAACATTTACAACGGATGGGCTTTTATGATGGCGAATCAGTCTGTAGGCATTGCGGTAGGTCAGAGGAAACAGCCGATCACCTACTCTTTGGTGAACAGCCCTCTGAGGCTATAAGAATAGACTACAGGCGTCCATCGGATGCATGAATCAGTAGGGTCTACCAATAAAACAACTTACTGGGGTGCGCAAAAAATTAGAACATTTAGATGAAGTGCTTTATGGTTTTGGTCTGCCCCTGTTAGATAAGGTAAGATTAGATGTGTGTCGGACATAGTACCTATCTCTCTTGATTGCTTACTCTTCTTGCAACAACCTGATTCCTTCTTTACACTGAGAAGTCAACTACCATATGAGCTTGGTTATCTAAAATATCCTTATCACTTGAAAGAGTGGTGTGATCTATATTTATAATTTTGTATATACTATTTTTCAGTTTTTTGAAATACATAACATTAAAACTGCAAGAAACTTTGTCTTTATATGTGTAAACTGCCTGATCTGAATTGTACACGGTTTTAACTGACTACTGAATTCCCGTACGTAGGACGGGCTAACACCTCGTATTTATGTATTTTTATTGTTATTGACACTCCTTAGAGAAACATCAGTGCAAATGAGAATAATCTACAACAAAACTACCTGATTAAATTACACTTTTTGTTCAAACACAGTCACTATGAGTTTCTTAATATAACTTTTTTCACCATGCTACAAATTACACATTATTATTTAAAAAATTAAGTGTAAATTTACTATCATAAGTTGAATAGTAAATTATTCAATATTCAAATTAATTTTTTATTAATAAATTCACCAAAAACACACATTTTTTAATCCATTTTTTGATTTTGAAGCCTGATGGAAATAGCACCACTTACTTCATTTCACTGAAAATGTTTGTAAAATAAAGAAGCCCAACCAGAAGGAAACAGCCCCCTTCTGTAACTAGTAAATTTGTAATGTCACAATTTAACTAACTTTATTTATTTTTATTTATTTATTTATTTATTTTCCAATAATCACATAACATCATATTCAGACAGGTGATTCGTCATTGTTACAATATTTTATAGTCTCTATTATACTAAAATTATTACTAAAATAAATTTCATTGCTGAGCCTTAACATCTACATAGCTTCCATATATTCTTCCAATGAGAAGAAGGCCTTCTCCAAAAGAAAGTTTTTTAACTTCTTTTTGAATTTAGGGAATGAATCAGTGTCCCTAATTGAAGAAGGTAATTTGTTATATATTTTTGGGCCCATGTACTGAGGAGATAAATGGAATACTTTAAGTCTGTGTTGAACTGGTTTTATATTGTTTTTAAATCTAGTGTTGTGAGGATGGGCATGTTGATCTTCCATGAATGTGTCAAAATCACTTTTAACCATTAAAGCTAGTTTAAAGATATAAGAACTATATCAATACAAGAAGAACAAAGTAATCAATACAAAGTAAGAATTTTAAACTGAATGAAAAACTCTTTACTGTGAGTAATTCGAGACACTTTCGCTAAGACTCTAACTGCTCTTTTTTGGAGGATAAAAATTTGTTCGGCATGACTAGAAGAACCCCATACCGTTAAACCGTAATTCATAATGGAAGAAAAATAAGCGTGGTATACTGCTAATTGTGTGTCTAAATTTGTAGTATGTCGAATTACCCGAAGAACAAGTATAGCTGATCTGAGTCTCTTTGATAGATTCTTAATGTTTGTTTGCCAATTAAGTTGCCAATCTATATCAATTCCAAGGTAATTAACTGAGTTTTGAGAATATATTGATGTTTGGTTTGAATTTACAACAATGTCTCTATTCTCATTAGCAACTGAAAAGTGAATTAGTTGTGTCTTTGACACATTCATAGATAGACCATTTACTGTGAACCAGTCCCCGAGGAGTTGAAACTCATTAGTAATTAAGTCTTGCTTAAAATCCAATGTTTTTTGTTCGGTGCAGATTAAAGCAGTATCATCTGCATATTAAAAAGTATGCATTTTTGTAACATTACATAAATCATTTACATAAATTAAAAATAAACAAGGTCCAAGAATGGAACCTTGAGGAACTCCGTAGGGTGTGTAACCCCACTCTGACTTATATTTGGTTTGGCATTTCTGTAATATAATTCTTTGTTTACGGCTTTTTAAATATGAAATGAACCATTTTAATTCCACATTTTTTATTCCATGTCTACTTAATTTTTCTAGCAATATATCATGATCAACACAGTCAAAAGCCTTGGACAGGTCACACAGCACACCTATTGTGCGCTGCGACCCGTCCAAGGCCTCCGCAATGCAGTTAATCATCCTGGTAATAGCCTTTTCAGTACTGGATTTTGAGCGGAAACCAAACTGAGATGGATTTAGTAAATTATTTTGTTCCAAATAATCTGTAAGTTGAGTTTTCACAATTTTTTCAAAAACTTTCGAAAAACAGGGCAAAAGAGCAACTGGTCGGTAGTCAGAAGGATTGTTAACATCACCCTTTTTAAAAAGAGGTTTTATCTCTGCATATTTAAGTTTTTCAGGGAAAATTCCTTCCTCAAGGGACTGATTCACTAGTGTGCAGAGAGGTTGTTCAATAATTTTAAAAACTCTACTAATAACAAAGAGGGGAATTTCGTCCCAACCTGAAGATTTAGTATTGCTAAGACTGGTAAAAACTTTTCTTAGATCCTGAACTGAAATTTTCCTAAATTTAAATTGTAAAGCAGAATTTTGAAGTCTAATTAAATGTTGACTATTGTTTAGTAGCTGAATGGATTTATCTTTATCTGTCATTTGGTTAGCAATTTGTGAAACATTTATAAAAAAATTGTTAAATTTATTTGCTATTGCCAATGCACTACCATATTGGTCGTTTCCATCATTCAATTGGATCTCAACCGGTGTGTCCGAGTTTTTTCTATTTAATCCAATTTCTTGTTTTACGACTGACCAAGATGCTTTACTTTTATTTTTGGACCTTTTAATAAAATCATCATTTGCCTTTAATTTAGCTAATGCAACGACTTTTTTGAAAGTTTTCCTGTAATTGTTGTAGTAAGTTAAAAATTGTGGGTTTCTATTCCATTTAGATTCCTGGTGCAATTTTCTTTTATTTTCTGCTGAAATTTTGATTCCTAAAGTAATCCAATTTTTCCTTTTTTGTGTTTTATTTGATCTTGTATTAACTGTTTTTGGAAAAACCTCATTAAATAAATTTAGAAATGTATTAAGAAAGTTGTTGTAGTTTGTATTTACATTTGGTGTGTTAATATCATAATGTGCATTCTTTAAAGCCATTTCAAAAGTTTTTAAATTTTGTTCTGTAAATTTACGAGTTAGTTCTTTGTTTTTACATCTAAGTATTGGAGAAGACCTTTTCTCAAATGACAATATCAATACTTTATGGTCTGATGCACCGATGTCTACAACTAAGCTACTAGTATTCTTAGCTCCGATGTTAGAAAATATATTGTCAATACAAGTACTAGAATTTTTAGTTACTCTTGTAGGTATAAATACATTTGGTACAAATCCAAAACAATCACAGATTTCAAAAACTTTACAGGTACTAGCTTTGTCAGATAACAGATTAATATTTAAGTCAGAAGATATAAAAACATTTTTAGATTTTGCCTCCAATGCCAATTTGTCGAGTAATAACTCAAATTTTTCTAAAAATATTTTATCAAAATTATCTCCAGGAATTCTATATATTGATACAAAGACCGAATTCCACTCCTTAACTTCTATAAATGACCCTTCAAAACAATATGGTTCATTCAGAAATTTCAAGTCATTTCTAATTTTGAAACTTAAATTTTTATCTATCATTAAACATGAGCCTCCTCTAGATTGATCAACTCTAGCATAAAAATCAGCAATTTTAAAATCATCTAAACTGTTTAATAAATTTATACATGTTGAATTTAGCCAATGTTCATTTAAAGAAATTACCTGAACCTTTCTTTGTTGACTTTCCAGGAAGAAAACTAAATCTAAATAATTATTTAAGAAGCCCTGGATATTAAAATGTAACAAAACAAAACTGTCATCAAGATTCTTTCCTAACTCATATTTTTTCTTGGACTCCTCAACCTGAACTACTTCTCTAAAAAACATTCTGTATTATTCCTAAGACTACTATTTACAATTTCACTCTCAAATACCATGGAATTAATATGTACAGGGGACTCATCTTCATCTTCACTCTCCATATCTACACTCACTTCACCAGACTGACTTTTTGCACTGCACAATACACTTTCTAGTGGTTTGTTGGGCTGCATCGATGCTTCAGGCTGCATCATCGTTTTCGCTGCTGCAACATTCAAGACGTTAGCTGCATTGTGTTCCTCCGTTGGTCTTTGACATTCTTCAAGTTGATTTGAGATTTCATTATGTAATGCTGTGACAAACGCTTCATGTGACCGCCCCCTCCAAAGAGTTCTTTGTGCTTTTTGGTCATAAGAAACTATGCAGACCTCAGCACCAGAAGCAAAATGAAATCTTACTAGGTTTTTAATGAAGTGACGAGGCTCAATCATATCCCTAACGCAACCCATTGCAGAGCAAAATAACTTTTTTAAACCTTTTCTTTTGAAATCTAGTTCCAGGTCACTGAAGGCTGCATCATAGTCCTGATTTCTTGGTTTTCCACAGTAGGAGTCTTTAGTTACCAAACTGTACACTAACGGGCCATTTTCCACCTTCTGGAGAGCTAGATTTTTTGTGACACAGTCAGAGATCTGAGGTCTGCCGAATCGTTCCCTGAAAGCCACTGCCACTCCCGCTGACATGTGTCGGGGGTTGTTAAAATCAGCAGAAATTGTATGAGCCAGTGCTACAGAGGTGTCATTTTGTATTTGATCAAACACAAGTCTCATATCTTTCTGAAGAACTGAGATTTTAGCATTTGGTGGTTTAGCATTTGGGTTGACTGTCTTTAATGAAGTTGAAGAAGAAGGCAGCAAAGGGAAGGCATTTGTGTCTTGTATATTGCCATTAAATTGCAATGTGGCTGGCTCAATACCAGGAGAGTCTGATGTACCTGGGCAGGTGAAGGACGGAACAAAGTTCACCAGTTTGGAGCATGAACTGCGCTCTCTATTGTGCCTAAGTATGGAACTGGTTAGGGCATTACTAAGTTTACGCTTCCCATTGTATTTAAAGTGAAGTCCATGCTGAGTATGATCCCTTCTATAAAACCTAGTCTTCTCCATGATAACGATTCCAGGGCATCTATTGTGGGGTGCAAAAAAAGTGTTAATGAGATTGTTATTAAACTCAGAAATGCTTTTGTTTTGTGATGTTGTGTCATATCTCAGAGGAATTCCTGGGAACAGAACATTTGTTCTTTTGACGGTATCCAATAGTTTAGTTAGGTCAATTCTCTCTTTAGTACATGGTTCACTGAAATTGTTAGTGCCGCCCAACACTATTATGTAGTCTTTTACAGAAAAATGTTGACTGATCTTTTCCAAATCTTCAATTACTTCTTCAAATTTAGCATTTGGTTTTATGATTGACGATATTGAGAATCTCTTGCCAATTTTGTTGCTCATTAAGTCTGATAGTTTTCTCCCATGACTATCTGAAAGAATTAATATTTTTGATTTTTTAGTTGTAGGTCCACAATTTATTTTGGTTTGACTATTCTTAATCTTCTTGCTATGTGAGGTGTATTCATTTTTTTCATTATAAGTACTGCATTGAGTTACATTTTGCAAGTCAATTAACTTTGTAAATCTATTTTTTAATGGTATGTCTGATGTACCTTTTTGTACAGTGAATGGAGTTGATGGATTCCATGTAGAGATGTCTTTAAAAAAATCAAGTTCTTCATGAGCCTTTTTTAGTTTTGATTCCACTGTCCTGAGCTCTTCTATCAAGCTTCGATTGTCGATTTCAAGGACTTGTAGACATGTGTTGAGGTCCTTATTTGATTCACCAATCCCATAGTCCGTTTTTTGTGCTTCAAGACATCTGATAGATTCTAGCATCTTAGCTGACTCTTCCTTTAATATCTTGCACTGTTCACATGGACTCTTGCGCAAATTTAATTCATTGATTAAACTGTCTTTTTCTGCTTCAGCTTGATCAATCAACGAAACCTTATGAGCCATCTCTGTTTTGATTTTATGTTCTAAGGCTTTGATTTTCAGACCAAGTTCGTACTTTTCCTTGTTGAAAAGGGAATTGCATTGTTCAAGTTGACTTTCTAATTGGGTAATCTTGTCATCAAGTTCCAATTTGGATTGAGAGTAATTTTGTCTTGCGTTATGCAACTCCTGTTTCAGCTTTTCATTTTCCTTTAGCAAAATATTACCTGCCTCAGCAGCCAGAATGAGTGAACTTTCTAAGTCTTCGTTTTCATCAGAATACGATCTTTTTTTCATGCAAGAACCCCTTAAACAATGAGGAAAATAAGAAGTTTATAAAGCCTGAACATAAAAATAAAATTTTAATAAAGGATTGAACTAGCTTCACAAATAATCCTACTAATATTATAAATGAGAAAGTTTGGATGTATGGATGGATGGATGTATGTTTGTGACAAGTAAACGCGAAAAATACTGGTCGGATTGGGCTGAAATTTGGTATGATGATAGCTTACATTCCCGATTAACATATAGGCCTAGACACATTCTTATCTTAAAAGTCCTTTCGGGCTCCGCCCCAGTGGCTCTGGAGTTTCCCATGTTAACCTTATGAGTAATCGTATTTAAAAGGAATAAAAGAATTTTGTCAGCTGTTTCAACTACACAAGTTGGTTCTATGATATTGAATAGCATTAAAAAGTTTCAAGGTTTACCAACAGGGTGCAGTACTATTATTTTTTACATTAATGACAACAGCTATCCTATTAAGGCCATAAAGGTAAAATTTTGTTTTTAAAAGGCTTAGGCTATGTGTAACTATTTTATCAACAGATGTAAATATCAAAATGTTTCTATTTCGTGTTCTCTTCCCGCTGCAAAGCACGGGTACAACAGCTAGTTTATTATCATAAATATCTGTTAGTAATGCCATTTCAATGAAATGGCTGCAATTGCTGCTTTTAAGTTACCCTTTTTTTAGGTAATACTTTTGACTTTGGATATTACCACTGAACAGCTGTCGCTAGATTTTAAATTCAAGATATTTTAATGAGCCTCTTATAGAGTGTGGTACTAATTGAAGAAATGTTCTCTTCCGTTTGTTCATGCTATGATAGTTAATGGAGACATAAAAGATGCTACAACTAACTACGGTAACAATTTATTGACTTATTAAAATGCCATAATGTAAGGAAACAGACCAGACACGATAGGATAGAAAACAACACAGAAAATTGTGATGCTAAGGCTATATTAGATGAGTCTCGGAAAGGAAACTGCCAGGAACCATTTCTTGGGGAGTATGCATACAAGGCTTCCAAACAATTCTCGAATGAGCATGCAATCATTAAGAGCCTGTCCTTCCTGTTCTTTTCCTGCCTGATGTAGCCCAAGTGCCTCTAGATAAAAGCTAGACAGGGAAAAATAACATGTGGCAAAACAAAACGCCACAACAAGAAAATATTGATCAAATTCTGTGCGAGGCTCGTCCACAGTTACTTTGGGTGAGGGTACCGTAGCTCAGGAATTTGGCATGTTGTTTTTCCGTTTAATGGAGCAGCTTGTATATGAATCCACAGAAAGCATTCACCAGAAACTTTCCTATCCATTTACTTTCCTCGTCCTGTCCTATCTAGTGTAGCTGAAGCTTTAATTTAAAACTTGCTGAAAATTGAATAGCTTACATGAATCGACTGTCTACTTCAGGGTACAGTATCTAAATTCAAGGGTAATACTTAAATGATCTTTAATCTTTTATCAGGACATAGACAAGGCATGCTACAACTTTTGCCTTGCCACGGCACCATCTCAGTCTGTTTGAAAAGAATCAGCATACAGGGGTGCTTTGTAACATAACCATTTACCTGAGCAGCTTAATATACTACCACTACCACGCATCAAGAACCAACTGAAATCATGTCTACAGGACAGACCATACTTTTTAGAAGCCGAATTCTTGAACAACAGCACCAGTGGAGCTCCTCCTCAATTCTTATAAAAAAAAATAATAAAAATCAATAATTACTCGGTTTCAGTTTGTAATTGTAACCACTTTTAATTGTTTATAATCGTTGACGCTTGTACTATTCTCAAAGAATATGCTGATAAAGAAATATTGTCTACTGCCTAAATATTGTCTAATCCAACAGATTTTGAATAATGTAAACTTTTATGAATTTATGATAGTTTATAATATGTTCTTCCTAAGCACTCTATCTGATATTTTGTTTGTAACTTACATCCTCGATGATGGATACCATCTTCTGCAGAGTGGCCTTGTATATCTTATCAGACTGGAACTGTGTTTCCAGCAGCTTCCAGTTGATAGCACCACTGATCACACCCTGGACACAACCGATTTCTAAGATAAGCCAGCTGAACTCTATCTTTTTAAAAAAATATGTGTTTAGTAATTATTATGTAATTTTGAGGTAGATGATTTCAATTAAGAAAATAAAAATGTTATTTCTGTGACACCTTATTGGTTTCATGGTTTCTATAAATAAATTACTTATTTCACAAAGAGGAATAAAATATAATTTGTTTTTTGCTAAAGATACAATATATAGGTACATCTTAAAATTTGGAAAGCCTACCAACACCAACAATTCAATGCGAGAAGCTCTCTTGAAGACGAGAGTCCTTGTTAAGTCAGAAGTAGAAGCAAACCTTGATTGTGACAGTGTGATAATTTTGAGTTAAGCTGATTAATTTTTTTTTAATGCAAAACACTGCAGGTTGCATGTTTTGTTGTTAATTTTTTTTTTTCAACTACGAGTATTATTTTATCTAAAGCCTATTTTCTTCTGCAGTCTATAAATTATGTAAGAAATTATTGTACCTTTGAGACATTTTTAGATATTTCATTGATTGTGTTATTGAAAGATATAATAGGACTGGCATTACAATCTATCACTAATCTAATTTTTTCTTCAGCACTCAAGTGACGACCACGCACGGGAAGGGCGGAAAACTCAATGATCAAAGGCCGAGTTGAGAATTTAACACTTGATTTATTATCTTAAAAGAACAGAATTATTTGTAATGAGTTACTATCAATTGCCAATATATATAAAAGTGATTTGGAAAGCGGACATGCCCACCCCCACAAACATCTCCGGGGGAGGGAAAGATAGCGCGTAACCGCAGCTCACAGACTCTTCAAGCCCGACTCACTAACTCTAGGCTGAACGGTCCTACACGTCACACGGAATTATGAAACCTCTTGTCAGCAGAACAATTAGGCAACACATTCCATGCCACGACCAAAACAACCGAACGTGATGTAGCAATCGATGTGCCCAATACTTTGTGACACTCAACAAAACCCAAGTAAACTGCAAGATTATGCTGGCTAGTGGAGTTGCAAAACGCTTCCAATGACCTATTGCCAATATTAACGGCAATAGCCAAAACTGGGTTTTGGGCTGGTATCCATGATATTCCAAAAAGTATGGTTAATAACTGCCTGACCGAATAGTAATGCAATCAGAATATAAGATTCAGCAGCCAGGTTTAAAGGATTTGGATCCGACATTAGAACATTTCACTAGTAAGTTGTGTACGTACCTCAGTGAACACCCCAGATGCCGTAGACCAGGAGAGGCAAGGCACAAGTACGATGGGATGAGGCCAGTTGGTGGCTGCTAGAGAGGCCATCTGAAACAAACCAATCAATGTTGCCAACACAATGAATATAAACAAAGTAAGGTTCACAGGCTCACCCAAAATGGTAAATTACTATTCATTCGTACAACTTTTGGTACTAACTTTGACATTATACTATCTTCAAAGCTACTAGCAAAAGCTGACTTTTGAAAATCCAAAACTAACCAGTGTTACCAAAACTTACAAATTACTAACAATAATACTAAAATAAGGTTATTATATAAGAAATATTAGCTTTAAAATGTCTTATTCTACTCTTTGACAGTTTGGGATTCTTCAATAAATCACTGTGAACATTATTTAAAAAAAAATCATTAGTCTAATACCAGAAATGTACAGTCATTAGTCGTTAGCGTCGCAATTACCAAGAGTGTCGGACTATCAAGTGTCAGTAAAGTCACTACTGTGCCACCATCCTGAGGAGACGTGTCCGTTAATTTTTGTTTCTTGCTCGTATACTTACTTTCAGCCTTGCTTGCATGATTACGTACTTTCAGCTTCCGCTGGGTTTTTGTTTATGTACTATTCCAAAATCCGAAATGTTGTAAAACTTTTAATTTTTACCAACCATGATAGAAAATATCCACAATAACCTGTTAGGTTAAGAGACCTGGTTAATTATAAGGGAGTTTCAATAAAGATCTGAGGTGAATACCAAGGTAAATAATTATATAGTTATTAAATCATAGATACTTAATAAAAAGCCTAGATAAAGCACAACTTAATGAAGCAAACCAAAAGCTCTACATTTTCAGCCAGTTCACTAAACGAAATTAAAAACCATTTACTTTGAATGTAAAGTTCTTGGCAATTATCATTAGTTTATTTTTTTTAATAAGATCACTAAACTCATGCGATTCTTGTAATCAACTTTAACTCGGTCAGTACATCAGATGTTTACCTATTTGGTTCAACAATGTTTTCTGCTCGATTGTTCAACTAATAAAAAGCGTTAAAATGGTACTGTTAGTCAACTTTTAATTATTGTAAATTAATTTTAATTACATAAATGTCTGGGTAGCTAGAGAGATTTAGTGCTCGCCTTCAAATTTACAATTCTGAACTCATGTTCCATTTGTCAATGGGATACCAATTAATGAAGGTATTACAAAAGGTTGACATTACATAGTTTCATAACTGCAGTTGTTAACAGTTGTCTTACAAAAAGTGTCAGAAAGCCAATGGTATTAACCCATTGACGATGGAATTTTTTAAACTTCACTTTTAATCAATTATTTTAGGTTATGTTCTTTTACGTCTTTTGCTATATTATATTACGTATTACAACACAATATGTCCATTTTCAACAAAAATAAAATCCAAAAGGGAAATATCTATCTCCTCATCCATACCAATGTAAAAGGAAGCAATCAAGTGTTGTGTGCAATCATTATTAAACCCACTAATGTCGTCAACTACCTCTATCTTACTACTTTAATCACTCCTTGAAGGTGTCTTTCCAGATGAGTTAAAGGTCACCAGAGTCTGTCACATTGTTAAAAAAGGTAAAAAGGACTCTCCAGAAAGTTATCGCCCAATATTAATCATTCCAGTAATATCAAAATAGTTTGAAATCATGGTTTTTGATCAGCTGAATTCTTTCTTTGAAAATAACAACTTTTTAAGTGTTTTGCAATTTGAATTTAGAAAGGGCAAGTATACATCAGACGCAATAGACAAATTGATTAATGAGGTACTAATGGTCTTTGAGAGGAATTCAGTTACTCAGGCTACCTTCTGCGACCTGAGTAAGGCTTTTGATTGTGTGGACCATGATGACCTAATAATGAAATTATGTTTTTACAGTATCAACGGAACTCCACTTTCTTTCTTCAATTCATACTTGAACAATAGAACACAAAAAGTCAATATTGATAGAGAATGGTCCCAAGAAATAAAAATATGACGTTCCTCAGGGGTCTGTTCTAGGTCCTTTGTTATTTTAAATCCTCCCAGAATGTATAACTAGTCAAACTTATTTGTATGCAGATGACACACATATTAATCCCGATCTTTAAAAACTTCAAGAGATGGCTCAAAACTCATTTAATGAAGCCTCTATCTGGTTTGAATCTAATGGCTTCCTCTTAAATAAAGATGCAACTAAAAAAATTGTTTTGGCCTTGGACCGTGCGAATTAAATATGTTGGATGGCTATGCAGACAATGTTAAATTTCTTGGTATTTATTATAAGACTCTTTCATGGAGACCTCATATCGATTACAAAAGTTCTAAGCTTTCATGGGTAATTTGTTTTATAACTAAAATAATACATTGTATAGATCAAAGTTATTTAAAAACAGCCTACTTTGCTTATTTTAAATCCATTTTTAGATAAATTTTTTTCTTTTACGGCAATTGCAGTAGGATAGAGGAAATTTTAGTCTTACAAAATAAGTTGGTTAGAATTATAAAACACCTTAGACAACTGGAACTACTATGCCACCGTTGGCATATACCTGGCTTATTAAAAGATCAAACTAATAACATTCAGATTTAAAGGCAAATTATTTAATCACTCTGCTACCCAGCTAAACTAAATAATATTTTTTTAAAGAAAATAAATTGTTATTAAGTCATCAGTGTACTGACTAGTTTGAACTACTGTTGAATCCTCAACTCACAGAACTAATTTATCTTGAGTAATCCTGCAAACCAAAGAAACAAGTTGATTATCAGATAATGGAATGGAAATATCATAAAAACATTTAACAGATATTTGTCACAGGTGCAAAAACCACAAATAGGAGAATAAAACGCAACATGACTTATTTATAATACTCTTCTGAACGTTCTAAACATGTGTGAGATAATGGTAATGGGTCGTCGACAAACTTATTACTACTATGCAGTGAAGATGCAAAGATTTAAATTTAAGTTTTAAAAAGTTTTAAACTTTGCTATTTAATTCAAATATAGCATTTTTCAACTACCCTTGCAGCCAAGAAAAAGTTTAGATGTTCAATGAAAAACAACATTCTTAGTCATGGCTTGTAATGAATTCATGCTATTTCTCTGTAAACAAATTTTAACACTTTAAATGCCATCCTAAGCTTTTCCATTATACGACAGAACCCCGCTAAAACGGACCTCTGACCTCTGCTAGTCCGACTCCTTGCTTAATCCGACCGTGTCATTGCCTAATAGACAATGTTATCTTTGTTACATCAAGACCACTTGCCAGGGTCATGCAGAGATCATCAACATCTTATGCAATTATGAACAAATCTTTTTTATCCCCTGCGATCATGTGAACATCATCATTGTTTTTGCCATCACAGAAACATTCATCGTCATCTTCCGCAATTGTGGCAAAATATTGATTGTCTCCCATGTTCAAGAGAACTTAATCATAGTCTTCAGTGATCACAGCAAAATCCTGAACGTCCCCCGCAGTCGTGTGGACATCATAAGCTTCTTCCACGATCACAGCAATCAAACATGTACCGAACTCGAGCGACAACATCGTTGTCTCCAGCAGTCATGGAAGCTTTATCGTTGTTATAAGCAAATGTGTCAACTCATGAATATCTCCTGCAGTAAAAGAAACATCATCGTCTACTGCAATCGTAGCAAAATATTAAACATCTCTCGATCTCGCGGGGACATCATCTTTGTCTCCAGCAATTAAGGAAACTTTATATTTACTAGTGGTCTATCAGCGATCGCAGCAAAACCATGAAAATCTCATTCCCTAAAAGAAACATCATCTTCACCTTCCATGATCGAGGCAAATTATTGAACATCTCCTGCGATCCCAGAAACACCATCATCAGGTGATGGTATAAAATATGATCCCAGCAACATCCATAATGATTTGCTGCGATCACGACAACACATGTGATGATTTCACACGATCGCAGCAACATTAAAACACACATTAAACAGAAATTTAAAAAACCAGGAAATTAAAATTGGAATTATATATTTTTATGAGTTACAAATCAAGAATACAAGTAAAAATGTAATAAATTACAACCGAGAACTTTCAATAAAAGTTAGTCATGGGAACATTATCATCACCTTCTGGGATCGTGCTTGATCAATGAATGTTAGTTGAGCAATGAATTTGCTCATATGCTACTCGGAAAATCCAACCTTCTCACTGTTCTGATGATGGTCCCAGTCCCAGAGGTGACGGATTAGCAGGATTGTACAGTATATTCATAATTTCAAGGCCAATAATGATCAATTAACTAATTTAGTTTTTTTATGTGCAAAGATTTACCAACTTGTAGTTTCATCCAACTTAATAGGTTTATTAGCCATTAAATTTTCCATAGGGAATATTTTTTGCCTTTTAAAAGTGTTTCAAACGAGTAAGAATTTAAGTCTAGGTGCCCATTGCTAACCTAAGTACAAGTAATATGAGTTCAAGGTTTGGTATTTTGAGTTACAAATTATAAACTTACATGACCACCCATAGACATGCCAGTGACACCGAGGGGTCCAAATCCCTGCCGCTGACACCAATGAAACAACACCAAGCTTTCCAATATAAGGCAGCCACCCATCACGAAGATATCAGACACATTGTGCAGTATGGAGCGTCTGCAATGAGGTTTAAGGTAAATAAATATCACAGTCAAACCTTAAATCACTGAGTTGTGTTACAGTAGGTCAAGCCAAAACACAACTTTGCATATAAAATATAATAACATTAGTAACATTACATAATGTAATCTGAGTTAAGATTTCTAAGGGGTATTAAGATTAAAGTAAAGTGGGATAGAGTTAGAAAAGTAGGGACCAGAAGAAAGATGGTCGAAGACAGTTGAGGAGGGTAGTAGAAGAGGAGATGTAAGAGGGGTGCAAAAATAGAGTTCCTAGGAGAATGGTCAGAGGGAATGTGACCAAGAGGAAGGCCTAGAAGGAGGTGGATGAATGAATGAGGTGAAGAGGGTTTTGAAGAAGAGAGGAGTGAGATGGAACATGGTGAAGAAAGAGAAACTGAGGATGAATAGAAGATGGAGAAGTCTACTCGTAACCCAGACCCAGGAATAGGATAACTGAAACGGAAGAGTATGCTCTCTGAAAGACAGCCAAGAAAAAGAAAAAATATGCCTATTAATATTGTCAGAAAATGGTTCTTGTCCCTAGTGTTTTTAAATTAAAATTCAGTATGTCCAGCAATCCATAAAGATAAAACTCAAAAACAATTTTGGTTTTCCAGGTTCAAAATTATAAAATTTTAATTTTCAGTACAAAAGTTGACGCTCAAAATAAGCATAACTTGTTTATATCTAGTATAGTATATTATAGTACATAAAAACCCTTCAAAGAACCAACAATAACTCAGATTCAAGAAGAAACGTATAAAACATTTAAAAACTAAGAATGTTGAGATGCCTGAAAATAAAAAAAAAAACAACATATTTTAACCAGCAAATATGAATCATTTGATTTGATCATGGTTTTTTTTACCGTTTGTGTGTTTTGGTTAGTTATCAGTAAACACAGATATTTAAAAAAACCAGGAAATTAAAATTGGAATTATATTTTTTTTATGAGTCACAAATCAAGGATACAAGTTAAAATGTGATAAATTACAACCGAGAACTTTCAGTAAAAATCGGTTCTTACTGATATCTTTCTTGATTTATAATCAGTTCTTAAACTTACAATAGTTTCTTAACTGTTAACGCTAGAATGACAGCAACGTTGTGAACATCTCATGTGATCGCGGTGAATTCTGTGATCATTTCACATGATCCTAGCAGCATCCGTGATGATTTGCTGCGATCATGACAACACCTGTGATGATTTCAAACGATCGCAGCAACAGCCACTGTCATCTCCAGCGATTATATCTCAATACCCGTGATTATTTTTCCTGATTGCGGCCACATCCTTGATCATTTTGCAATGGTAGCAGAATTAATGGTGATATCCTGTGATCGGGGCAACGGCTATGATAATTCCTTGCAATCGCGGCAACACACCATGATCATTCCTTACAATTGCGGCTATGTCCGTGATTTGTGGAAATTTCCCCCTATTGTGATTTTCAATGATACAGCAAAAATATAAATTCCCGGATCATAACAAAATTTAAGTACAATTGACAGATTTTCTCCCAGTCATCTAAATTCATGTACTATTTCCCGTTTTCAGGTGGGCTGGAGACTCTAAATATTTACAATAAACATTATTTAGTTTTAAAATCTTAAAAATCATTAAAGCTTTATTAAGACTTACACTTGATCTTTGGGTTTCCTGAGGCCATAGAATGGGTTCTCCAACAGAATAGAACTTATATTGGCTTCTTTCAGCAAAGGCTTAGCAATCACCTGTCGTCTGCGCCAATAGTACTAGGGTCAAAGTCAATCTTTTGAAATATCGCACACAAGATATCATAGACATACATGTCTCTTACATATGTCTTATATCAGTCAATCAGAAAAAATATATCGATAGAATACAATTTGACGCTTGCAAGACAATGGAGCTTACGTACATATTATATGTACCTACGTCCCTTTGCCTTTCAAGCGATGAATTGATTATTAATTACATATAATATCAAGCCAGCAAAGCTGGATAGACAGCCAAATATTTCCAGCATGCCTACAAAACTCAAATAAAAACCTAGTCCATAGTAAATCCATGCATAAAAAATGCATTAAGATTTTTTAAAAGACAATAATGCCCTTAATTAATTATACGATTTGAGACTATCTCTTTAAGTATTTCAATTGATCTTATGCTAATTAGTAATTGTTATTACTTTTTTCCAGTAAGTCTAGTAGCATAGTTTCAAAAAGTATGAAATTTGGGCAGTCAGAAGTTTTCTTGATACCTAGCTTTGAATATAATTAACTTATGGTACATATTGAGACTTGCTAAACTCTTTATACGTTATAGTGACTATTGTCCCTTCAAACAAACTCCTGAGAGACATGCTGAACTACCTTAGCATGTTATTTTAGGAAATAATACAGTAGAACCTCGATAAGACGAGTCTCAAGGGGATAAGGAAAATAGTCTTGTTATTGAGGTGATCTTCTTGGCAAAGGTCTGTTATCAATGTTTTTCTGGCCAGTAGTCGTGTCATCAAAGTTAATAAAATCACTGAGCATCTTTATAATGAGTGAATTTCAGAACTTGCATAAACACATCATTTTTTTCCCAAATTATAATATTACTGTTGTGTAGGAAATTGAAATAGGTTATTGAATAAAATGCAAGTATAACCAAAAACTCTAGGCCTACAGTTTAATTTTTTCAACGGAATTGCTTCAGCCATTTAACTAAACACTCCTCCACGTCTTGAAATTTACCTTTTTTCAAACGTTTTACCAACACCTTTACCCTCTTAAATCTTTTTTTTCAAAATTGTATACATTGTAATGGATGGAATATTAATTTACCTAGCAATTTCAGCTTTCTTTTAATTTATATATTTTTCTACATGTTTTATAACTTTTCTTTTAAATTCACCTGCCAATAAATTTAGTTAAAGTTGTATGACATGATAACTACATAATAGATGCACAAAACATTTACAACTCACAAGCACAAACAACAAAATACCAAAGACAAAGAGAATAAATATAGACTGTCAAAGGAACGTTCCGGCACCCACCTAGTGATGGACGCCAGAACTTATGCTAACCGCAGCACAGCTGACGGGCTATATTTATTTATTCTATTTTCTATGAAAATATTGGACTTAAGATAAGACAACGAATAATCAGTAATACAGTAAAGACTTACACTGCAATGAACAGATCGCGTCTTGAACCACAAGACATTAATTTAATCACTATCAACACACAGTCACACTTAATCACACACTAGATCCCACTTCTCAAGAACTGTGCTACAAACCGATTGCATTCGAATCCAAGACAGAAGAAGGATCAATGATTATTTCAAGTTTAATTTTAACAAATAAAAAATTAGCCTACCGGTACTTGCTATTTTTACTTTACTTTTAACAAAAAAAAAATTGTAATGCCTGGAATTATTGTTTTTCTAAACGGGAAAAATAATCCATTGGCTATTTGGCTTAAAATGACCTCGGATAACCGAGGGATTAGTTTGCCGGGTATAATGTAAATAAAAATCATGATATATTGACCTCTAACGGTTTTATGATGATGGGTTAGCCTCTGGATCAAGATATAGCAATATTAAAAAGGTTTAGAATACCTGTTGCATCAATTGATCCTGTTGTGTTATAAATAACGACAGCTGTTTCGTGCTACTAAGAGCACATCTTCAGGTTGAACGTTAAACTCTAAACACTATTCTCATTGATATATGAGGTTGTCAGCATTATTATTAAACCCTTCATTGACACAAAAACACAAACACATACAAATACAACATTTAAACAAAAAACTTGGCCAAGTAGCTTAAACCATAGATAAATCATACTCCCTTAGTAGTAGTCATCCTTATGGAACAGCTGAAGCCAATTTTATTGTTTGTTCTGTACGTCCAACTGTAGAGGTTATGTTTTGTTTACAATTTGTTTCTTGTGATTTCAGTCATTTAAAACCTCATTTAATCATATAAAACGATTTAATCATAAAGAATAACTGGTCCCCTAGTTATATAACCAAATAGTAAAGCACAAATTATGAAAATAACCCTAAAATAATATAAACAAAATGTGGTCTACCCCAGCGATCAGTGTGGGTGTACATGAACTAGACATGAAAAACAAGCTTCAAAATTTACAATGGGATGAGGAGTCTACTTGTGTTGCTTAGTCTATGCCCAAACACAAGGTGCATTATCGGTTAATAATTAGTCATTGACTGACCTGTGTCAGAGTTTGTGACGACCCCCTCCCCATCTCTCTCCTTATCTTGACTCTGGTTTTAATAACTAACGGTTGTTACTATAACTAACTAGTGGTACTATGACTAACGGTTTTAATTAACTCTGAAGTGAACTAAAGCAATGTTTACACTGTCGTGAGGCCACGGTTATAATCAGGCGTGTAGGTGAGAAATTTTTCTCACTTTCTTGAGAAGCGTGGCCACACCTTGTGCAAACAGTGGAGACGTGGGAGCAACTGATGTGGTAACCCAATACGCCTGTTCCCCACGCCCTTTAGAACTAACCAAAACGTGTTTGGTTGCTACGCCTGTTGCAGGCGTGGCCAGACGTGGTGAGGAGTCATCGTTTTCCGTCTCGTCGTTGACACAAGTCGAATCAATTGAAACGGTGAAAACAAAGCAATCTTTAAAATGAATGGAAGGTCAAACAATTTGAATGCTTGAACTGTATCAAAGTGAACCTTGTTATTTGATATAAATATTGAAAGCTACAGCTTGGTTTCTTTCTTTTTTTAATAACACTTAAATGCCGTGCTATTTCTTCAGCTAAAATAACATTCATTGAAGCACAACCTTCAATAATTAATCTGTTGGCACAATCCATAACCCACCCGTAAATAAAGACGAACACGCCGTTATTGAATACGCTTTCACCAGAAAACCGTTTACACTACACGGCTGCTTGTGGCCGTGGTACGGTACCGTGGCGCCACGGCATTTGCGTACGGCTGTCCATTGGCGTGGCGACCACGCCTGCTATGGACGTGGTATTACGGCAGTGTAAACACTGCTTAAGATTTTAGTTCATACAAATATAAAATTTAAATAGTAAACAAAGAACAACTTCGGATCGACGACAAAGAAATTCATAAATTAAATAAAGCATAATAACAGTTCATATGTTTTCCAATATTACCACACCGGGGCTCATACAATCGAGAGTGTACGGAACTAATCTTTGAAATAGGTTAAGAACATCTGATTTCAGAATTTTTTTTAATTAACGTACTCTGTGGAATTGGGGTTTGAAAAAAACACAACTTCATGCACAGAATTTTATTGATAAGTTAAACTATTTTGACTTACGTGGTCTCCAGTTCCCGCCATATGTAGGCAAATGGGTTTGTAGTAATTTGATGTCCATTTCTTGGGTAAAATAACTTGGAAATGGGCATTCTCTGACTCTTCCGGCAACAACCCTGGCAGATAGTGAACAAATGGAGACTTGAAGTGACCCTCCATCACTCGACAATCAGACCATTCTTCATCCTGGACCATCAAGTAACAGTTGAGCCTTTAGTTTATTTTGGTAAATAATTAATCTGTTATTTCAAGAGTTCTTATTAATCAATTATAACTTTCACAAGTAAAATCTTTAATGATATGATATGGGGAGAATGTGATGTTAAAGGAGTAAAGCTGATTTGCATAAGATGTTTTAACTTATGTCTGTTACATCTGAAACTTTCTGTGGTTTAACAAACATTTTACAATTGGCTCTAAGTTAATTACAGTAGAACCTCGCTAATCCGACCTCCGATGGTCCGACTCCTCGCTTGGTCCGACTGTGCCGCCAACACAATAGGTCCAAGAAAAAAACTAGAAAACTAAAAACTTTATAAATTGTGTTTTTTAGTCTAATGTGTAGAAATTCGTTGTAAGTTACATTTTTAACCATTTCTGCCCATTATTAATTTGAAGTAGGCTACCACATTATTTTTTTGAAAAATCACAGTTCATTTGCTGCTCTTTAGGCCTACACATGAAACATCTGTCTGCTGCGTGTTTGCTATGTCACAACATTTTGTGACTGGGAATTTGTTAATCATGACAGCTTTAGTAGCCTGTGATTAGGTGATTAGTAGGCCTAACCTTGGAAACTTGTTGAATGGGTGGACGAAGAGAACCTCAAGAAAGAATAAAAACTACGAGAAAGAAAAATCAATGTTTTTATGTCATGTTTTTGGCAATTTGTTTGTTTGAGTAAAAGTTTGAAAAAGCTGTGATTTTAAACGTTACATTTTTTATTACTGAACCAAGGTTAATGACATAACATAATAATTATCATGATTGCGCAATAGCCTACAAATTTTGTAATTTTATGATGTAATATAAAGCAAACTATCACATTAAAGTCCATTTATACAGTTAAGGCGGGGACACACTTGTCATACACCCTTCCGATCCGACTCAGATCATACTGCGGTACGACTGTCGGAGAGGGGAATGTTACTTAACTTTGAACGCGGTTGTTTACACCTCTCCGACACGTGTCACGTCATACTCCGATCCTACTCCGATTTTGACTCCGATCACGCACTGACACTGCAGTCTATTCGTTTGTCGGATGCAGGATGATGGGTTGTTTCTTAAAAATCACCTTTATTCTTAAGATTTAAGAATAATGGTTTAAGATAAATATATGCCGATGCTTTATGTGAAATCTGTGCGTGCATACCTTCAATTTGAGACCTCGATCATGAAAATCAGACGGGTAGAAGAGCCAATCGACTTCGAGAGAGAAAACCCAATGTGCTTAATATATAAGATGGGCACTTAAGTAAACCACCTAAATCTTTCCATACAGAATGAACCCAATTTCTTCGTTTTCCACTGCCCTTCAGAGATGTCTGACTTTCTTCCTCTTCATCTAGACAAACGACCATCATGGCTGAATCCCGAAGTCCAAAGTTTTTGAACACGTTTACCACCTTCTGCACGTAGTTTACAAATCAGACTGGCAAGTGTTGATCGACCGGTGGAGGAAATCTGAGATGAGTCGGAATCGTGTATGACATGTGTGTTCACCCCCTCCGATCCCGCACCGATCCTTCTGGAATCCAGCAAATCGGATCGTAGTAGGATCGGAAGAGTGTATGACAAGTGTGTACCCGCCTTTAGTATTAGGCGTTGTTTATGAGTTGGAAATAACCCTTTTATGTCATGTTGGATTAACCGTGGTTATCAGTTATCAGTGGTCTGTTATAAAAAAAAAATACAGTTTGACTACGTTTTTAAGTCAATAAAAACGTTCCTCTGATAATCCGACCTTTTTGCTGTTCCGACCATGCTCCAGGTCCCGTAGATGACGGATTAGGGAGGTTCTACTGTAGTACCTTATTAAGCACACAGTGCTACCGATTTATATTTAAATTTAAGTGAGTTGCAGTACCTACCTTATCTATGTGAACAGGATAGTTTTTATCGACTAGATTGTAGCAGCTTTCACGATTTGATACTACCTTTCTGAATTCAAACAACCTGCAACAAACAAATTTGTAAGGATTTACCGGGACTTAAAGGTGTCTGACACAAATCTTTATCAAGCCTACAGCTTCACATAAATTAAAATTGTGTTGTTTTGTTGCATTGTCATCTTCTCTCATAAGCAATACAAAACTTTTTACACAAAATCCGTTATAAAACCAGGTTCTGTAGGGTGCCATAATCTTCAGAATGAATTAGTGCCATAACCTTCATTGAGAGTTTGATTCAGTGTTGCCGTTTTGTACATAATTAAGCTTTTTGTGCGGATTTTGGTCGCTTGCGCCAATTTTTTTCATGGATTATTACTGTGAGCGTATTTTGCACGGATTTCACCCAAATGTAAAGTTTTTTAAAATATTTATAAATTTCAACGCTAAATCGAGAGTCGGGACACTTTATAACTCAAGAGGAGCACTTGGTGAGTAGGAGCATTCACTATGCAGTAGGCTTACAGGCCTGCCAATCTACCATATTATGGTACGAGGGCTGTTCGGAAAGTAACCTCCGGTTCTCTATAAATAAAACACAGAAGTAGCAACAACATTTTTATTATATACATCTTAAAACTACGTCTTTCCTCTACTTTTCAACATAGTTTCCTTGGACATTCAAACACTTATCGTATCTATGGACCAACTTTGAAAATCCCTCTTTAAAAAAATCACCCGCCAATGCCTTGAGCCATCCCGTGACTGCATCTTTCAGTTCTTCATCATCATCAAATCGCTGGGAGCCAAGCCATTTTTTCATGTGACTGAAGAGGTGGTAGTCGCTAGGAGCCAGGTCTGGGCTGTATGGAGGATGTGAAAAAACATCCCATTTGAACTGGTCCAAAAGGTCCTTGGTTTTTTGGGCAGTATGAGGACGTGCGTTGTCATGCAAAAGGACGACACCAGACGACAGAAGACCGCGGCGTTTGTTTTGGATCGCCCGTCTCAGGTTCTTCAGCGTTTCAACGTACGAATCCGCGTTAATTGTTGCACCACGTTCCATAAACTCAACCAGCAGTACACCTTTGGAGTCCCAAAACACAGTTGCCATGAGCTTTTTTTTGGAAAAATCTTGCCGTGCTTTTGTTGGTTTGTGTGGCGATGCCGTATGACCCCACAACTTAGACTGTTCTTTAGTCTCAGGATTCACGTATTTGACCCAAGTTTCATCACCAGTCACAATTCGGTTCACAAAATGCTCTCCTTCCTTGTCGTATCGAGTCAAAAAGTCCAGAGCCGAGGTCATTCGTTGAGTCTTGTGGTTTTCCGAAAGGATTTTTGGGACCCACCGAGCACAAAATTTATGGTAACCTAACCTGTCAGTCACAACTTTGTACAGAACAGTCCTGGAAATTTGAGGAAATTCATCCGAAAGTTCTGAGATGGTGAATCGTCGGTTATCACGAACCTTTGCGTTGATTTTCTCAACCAGTTCATCACTGACCACAGATGGTCTGCCACTTCTTTCTTCATCATGCACGTTCGTTCGGCCATTTTTAAACGAGCGAACCCATTCCCGAACAACTCCTTCACTCATTATTTTGGGTCCATACACAGCACAAAGTTCTCTATGAATAGCTGCTGCCGAATACTGTTTGGCTACGAAAAACCGAATCACAGCACGCACCTCACACTTGGCGGGATTAACGATTGCAGTACTCATTTTGACCATCGACGGCAAAAAAACTAGCACTCGGACAACCTTCACACTACCACGGCTGGACGCCGACTGACTTGCGATACGCGCAGAAGCAAAAATGGCGGCGCTACCCCTTCTATTTCCCGCGCAAGAAGCAAACGGAGGTTATTTTCCGAACTGCCCTCGTATTTAGTCAATGGGAGGAGCTAATGATTATAGAATACTATAGTGAATTCGTGAATGATCTATGTTCTTTTTATTACAATTTATTGTCCTTCCTTTACTTCTACGCCTACGATCAGTTTGTCACTCCTTGAGACTAAATTGTTTTCTAGGGATATTTTACTTTCACTTTCAAGTGATTTCCCTACCTTTGGTGGCAACAGTGTATTACTGAAATTACTGTGTACAAAATCAAACAATAACGACAAGTCAGTCTGTAACACATTTTGAGTGTTACATTTTGTTGTAACGTGCATCGATATATAACAAACATGGATCGCACGCTGTATGTGTTGCTTGAGCCGAAACGCGGTCCGGCGCTGTCAGACACCCCCCCCCCACCACTTTACGGGCAACCACGTGCACTGCCACTACTGTCAGTATAGCTGTACAGCGGAAGTGCGTGGTTTTATTTTTTCGTATTAGTATTTATTCGACGTGATGTACTTTGATTATGCCAGAATCGTGTTCTGCATTCAATTACACAAGCAGAAGAAGTAAGAACAGTTCAATTTCGTACGAAAGAAAATCTCATACGTGATTCAGAAATGTTGAACGAGTGCATAGAATACTTACAGACTTTGAAAATTGAAAATGTTTCAATTTTACAGCATCCTAGAAAACCCTTTGCCCTAGGGTTCATGACTAATATATGTTCCATAAGAATTATAACCAGCAGATTATTAGATGACTTAAATTTTTAAGTACATCTTAACATAGGCTATAAGTTTTCTCAAGACCATTTTTTTGGAGCTGTTGTTTTCCACATATCTATCGTGGAGTTTGGGGAGGATAACCACGAAATTAAATGAGCAAAATTCATAGGAAACTTGTTTAAGATACTTCGTTTTAGCAAAGCAAAAGAAGCAACCTTAGCAGCTATAAATGCAAAGGTAGGGATTAGGCAAAAGTTAACAAAACTTGTTTTGTTTAGCAATGTTTGATGTTTTGTACGCGAGTGATTTTGTAGTTTTGGTGTATATACAGGGTGTCCCGCAAGTAAACAGCCAAACTCTGGGAAATACTTCTATGGGTCAAAATAAAAAGAAAATCAAGAATAACATTTTTTCCAAAATCACTTCGTTAACCAGGTCCGATTTTACAACTAAATATCGTAATATTTCAGCTATTTCTTATTCGATATTTTTGAGCTTTGTATTGTTTGATACGGAATAAAAATGCTAAATAGAAGTGTTCTTGACATTTTTTTTCATAACAGCCGTTTTTGAGCAATTTAAGTTACAACAATTAAAATGGCTGCCATTTTGAAATTTTAAGTTAAACAAGATGATTTTTTTCTAGCATTGGTCTTTTCTATCTTAACCTACATACCAAGTTTTATAAAGATCGATTGAAAATTTAAAAAAATAAAAATGTTTATGTAAAAAATACAAAATGGTGGATATCTGGTTAACGAAGTTATTTGAAAAAAAAATTTTATTCTTGATTTTCTCTTTATTTTAACCCATAGAACCAATTCCCGGAGATTGGCTGTTTACTTACGGGACACCCTGTATATGATATCGTTTTGTTAAGCAAGATATTTTCCTGATTTTATGTGCAAATTAAATTTGTTCTAGCAAAGCAAACAATCAAACCTTAGCATATGTAAATGCAAAGGTTGGCATTATAGGCAGAAATTAACAAAACATGCTTTGTTTAGCAACGTATGATGTTTTGAACGTGTGTCCTTATGTAGTTGTGTTGTTTCTTTATGATATTGTATTATTAAGAAATGTATTTTCATGAATTGAGTGTACAGATTAAATTATAAATACCCTATATAGGCCTACTCTTGTCTTTAATTGTTCATATTTCCCCTGTTCTTATAATTTAGTAAGCAAAACTGTTCCAAAACTGTTTAACATTATTGGAGTTTTTATCAAAATATATTTATTATTTTTCATGAAACAAAATCAATTAAACTTACACAATAAACAGTTAATACTGTAAAATATAGATAACGAATGTTAAACGATGCAATCACATGTGATGTAGGTGTTATTCAAGTGTAAAATAACATTGCATTAAATGAAAGCGCTGCAGGTATGCCCGGAAAGTGGTGGGGGGAGCTGTCTATAGCCGGACCGCACAGCTGCTACTCAGCGCGCGATCCATTGTGTTTATATATCGATGGTAACGTGTAACAGAGAAAAAGCACATTTAAAACATGTACTGACCACTATAAAACAAAGACAATGACAATGACTCGCCAGTCGCCACCCAAGCACAAATGATACAGTCAAGGACATCAGATGTTTGTTGGTACATAACTAGGTGAAACCCGTCAAAATCAACGGTTGCTTTAAAGGCTTACAGCTAACCAACTTCGATAATTCTTCTAACTGCGTCAAAAAGAGTGAAATTATAAAAAATGTGAGCATTTAGCATTGTTTAATGGGAAATAAATAGTGTGTAGAAACAATAATGACTATTGCGTTAGTTACAAAATATGGTTGATAATAACAATTTTTTCTTATACAGTCCGTCATATGAGTTATTGTTCCTATGTTAACTGGTTTATCTTCTTATTGATGAATAAAACGCGGCTTCATTGGCAACAAATAATGCAAATGACAAAGCAATGCTGCATTTCCGAAAAGCAAATACTGTAAATTGTTACGTAAATAGTGACGTTTACATGCATTGTTGTTAATCAATATATCTTAGAATGAATGAGGATACCTAGTTCAAAAGGAACACAATCTTTCTGTCATGACAGTAACTGCTTAAATAGTAATTACTCTTCGTGAAATTTGTTTTACAGTCGAAGTGTAGTGTTATTTTCACAAATCTCACTTAAGGCCAACCAAGTGGGCCACGGTCCGTAATAGGCCACTGTAAAACATCTGTCAAGATATAGGTACTATTTTTATTTTAGGCAAGGTTTCTGTGTTTGGATGTTATTAGACACGATAAGAGCACAATGAACTTCCTGCAGATTAATAATCCGTTGGTTAAGAGAAATATAAGCCGAATTAATAAATTTCACAATTCAACCACATTAAAATGGCTCTGGCCTGAACTTTTTGTAGTATCGAGTTTGGGCATTTTGTTTATGTTACTATCTGGTTAAGTTACCGGTGTACTTTGAGAAATTTCTTTAGAGATAAATTAAATGGTTTTTGTCGCTTTTTCGTTTG